ACCCACCCCCGATGTTAAAATATTCCGGTGGGCGAGCGAGCGCGGGACGGGAATAGCCCGGGAGAGTTATGGCCGCCTCCGAGACTCAAATAACTCTTTAATCCGCGGGCGCGTGTACCGCTCTTCGCGCTCCTTTCCGTTCCTTCCTTCCCTACCTTTCTTTCGCCGAGCTAGACGCGACCGGCTATTTGCGGCGAGTCCTAACGAAAACTAACCCGTGAAAATTTCAACGAGCCCGTACGGTGCCTCGTTCCCTCGCTTTTGATCTCCGCTTGCCCGGCCGCGCTCTCTTCGACTTCGTTTACGACCGCTCGTGTGGCGCTACTAATCTAAAGTACGTTTCACTTTCGACCACAATAAATTGGCTAATTAGGCTACCGTTAGAATGCTCGTGTCACGTATCACGAGTTTACGGCGTGCTTCTATATATAATGGAACACGCCGCGCATGATATGTGTAGAAGTCGGTGTTACGCGAAGAATGCCGCAACAAGTGCTTTGGATGAATTGATGGACGTATTTATCAGCAGACAGAAACATTGTACAATAGTGGACGGGATCGGGTAAAGCTAACCGTGATTATATTTTCATGATCATAATTTTGTTTGAACTCCGCTTACCGATCTACGGAGCCTACATGTTTATGATCAATTTCGTAGCTTTAATATATGCACGCATATATCAGACGCGTCAAAATAAAAGTTTCGTTTTTACCAAATTGTTTGACTTATCGCTGAGTTAACTTCCGCGTTGTTTCAGCCGCTTCCTAGGGATCGTTTAAACAATCTAACAACTTACGACCATTAAACCGTGAATTAAATGGTACACGATCGACGTCTAATTGCTATTTAAGGATCTAGTCACGATTTAGATCGAATTAGAAATGTAATCAAAGTCCGAAAGTAGTCACTTTGAGGTTAGGTCAACTACACCATTTTTCAACGAAAATTGAGCGAAATTTATTTTCTAAAGAATTGTATGCTTCATGTATTGCCATTATTTTATTTTGTTGCTCTATGTGTTTATTTATATGAAATGTTACATTAAAGAATAAAAATCTTGTAATATTTGTTCTTCATGTTATTACAGTACATGAAGTGCTTTAAACACCCGTAAATGTTTGGAATACATTGTACATGAATACCCCATTATCGACATAAAATTATGTATCATTATTAAAATGTACTATTTATGTACCGTGTACTTCTCGGTTAAAATACACCATTACCTATAAATTAAATTTCGCGGTATGGTTTAGCTCGAAGATTACGGCAATCGAGATCAATACCCATCTTCGTGACTCTGATTAAAGGGTCTCTATACCGAATTATCTTTGGAACCTCATGCAACAAAGCTGAGAATCTCGGGCGAAACTCGTTTCTCCCAGATTGCAAGGAAGATTAAGGGTAGCAGTTGTTCCAAGAATTTGAGAAGGAGCAATATTGTTGTACCTCCTTTTATAAAGCATTTTTTGTATAGTTATATAAATTAAAAGTGAAGTATGAGATCCTATCGGTGGCCTCGAACAAGTCCTGTTTGCCCAATTCTAAAAATGGCAGTGATACGTATAGTACAATTCATCAGCGTTTGAATATCCTTGACTGTCCACGTAAGCCGATAGCAAGTTACGAGCTTAAAAAAGCTCCACATCTAGTAAGCTAGGACGAAAAAGCTGGACACTAACGGTAAGTAAAGTGCACGGAGCGACACTTTCGATAAGAAGACATCAGTAAGTTGATAAAAGAGTAGACCGAGCGGTCGTCGATCGAGATCGACAATCTCGAGTCGTGTGGCACGAAGATACGTCGATCGAGTGTCGCGCACAAATTTGTCGCGGATTAAAAATTCCCCGGAATCCGGGCGTATCGATGTAGTACCCGAGGGTAATTAAATGCAACTCCGGCATCGCGTCGTTTTTTCTTGTTCCGCATGGAAATCGCGACCGACACACATCCCACGGCGCCGCTTGGGCTGTGTGTGTGCGCGCTGGTGTGCTCGTGTGCACGCAAATTAAATATCTGAGAGCCTGTTCGCGTGTAAGAATACACAGGTAAGCTAGGGCGCCAGAAAGATATATCGTTCCACCAATTTGTTCTTCGTGAGGAAATCCATTATTAGGCGAAGCACGAACTTTTGCGACTAATTGCGAGCGTTG